GAAAGTTATAAATATAGCTATGTATATAGATTATTAAAATTGCGCGTTAAACGTCAAAACACAAGGCAGAATCCCTACACAGGGTTAATCCGGTTTCGCATTAAAGGTTACCGAAAACCCCATCGCTTATCGACACCGATAATGTAATGCGTCCGTGTGGAGTAGAGGCTTTGCCCCGGACCCACGATGCAACAGGTTTCGGGGCTTCAACTTTTGAAGTCTGAATATTCGAGATAAGTTTGTAAAAATGCTGATTTAATGCAGTTTGCGCCAATGTGATGTAAACAAAACAATTAATGATTGAATAGGTATGAAAACAAATCACTACATAGTATAAAACAAAGTCGCTGTCCGCCGTCTGTCTGTCCCCATGTATGCTTAGATCTTTAAAACTACGCAAAAGATTTTGATGCGGTTTTTTTATTAGATAGAGTGATTCTTAAGGAAGGTTTATATGTATAATACATGCATACTGTACCCGCGCGAAGCCGGGGCGGGTTGCTAGTAAAAAATAACTGCATATCTGTTGAAGTGATTTGGTTACCAATACAACGAGGTATTAAATAAAAATGGCTACGGTAAATCGTTAATTTGAAAGTGCAAAGTAGTCTGGGACGTGTTGGGTTTTTAGAAAAAATCTCAGTAGTAGCACGGAGTCTAGAATAGTGCCCGGTATATGGCAATAGGCTCACCCCCTATTACATGGGACTCATAACATAAACAGTTAAAAGTGGGTGTTACATTGTACAGTTGCATTAAGTGCCGTAATGTGCACTTCTGCCTACCCCTTCGTGGATAAAAGGCGTGATGTTATGTATATATGTATGAAAAATCTAAACAATTTATTTTTGGCCCTGGAAAATATCCAATTGCATATTACATTCGCTTATTGCTTATCATTGTAATTCATTCTTTATGACAGTGTGTATGTGTGTGTATGGGTGTGTGTGTGTGTGTGACGTGATGGTGAAAAAATGCTACGTCACGGCTGTTTTACTATTGGGGTAGGTAAAGCTCTATTTGTAGTCCACTTTCTATGGGTAATTTTATTTATTATATATGGAAAATAAGGGTTAGTTCTTGCTACAAATTGGAATCTACTAATTGAAATCGTCTTAGGATTTGGCATAGAAATTATTATTAAGATTCACAATTCAGTGTCACCTAACATACGTCCTACATAAGTATTCCAATGTAACTAGATTTTGCACCAATCCAATTAGACACTAATTCGCAATTTGTATACGCTCGTCAAACTATTGACTCACTGGGAAATATAACGCATATGTATGTACCAGATAGAAAATTCAATAAATATCGAAAAATATCATTCATTGCAAAAATTGAATAACATTCAATCCACAAAAAAGATAAATAACAAAAAAAAGATTACGTTTTCTGCCATATTTTTTGATTAAGACGCATTTTTCGCGGTTCCACCATGTCTAACATATTTTTCCTTCTATTGAGTTAACGAGAGATTGAGGGGTAAAATCGCCATATCTGTTAGGGGTTGTATTCAACCCTTGGACCGCCACCCCCGGGGTACTGAGCCTACCTTAACAAATTTTCTCTTAAGCTTAACTCTATGTACTTTATCAAGGAAAGGAAATTCTTTGAAGTTACTCCTTGACTTGATTAGAGGAAATTTGCAGGAAAAATATACCTAAGTATATCTTTATAATTTGATACGCCATTTTGTTTCTAATTATCGCTGGTTTTGTGAGGTAACGTAGTTGGTAGATTTTTTTTTTTGACATTTTTAAGTATAATAGTTTTTCGTTGGTGTAGAAATATTGTAACTATTCACTATAATAGTCATTAGTTAAATGCCAGTAGATAGTTACCATTGATAACTAACTAAACATATTTTTTTAATGAAAGAAATCTTTTTATAAATTGATGCCAACAAGGAACACGATTGAAAATTTTATCTATTTAACAAATACATACTATTTAATTAATTTGTCTACATAAAGTCGCAAAAATAACTTAATTAGGTACGTACCAGCACCAATGTCACAAAACTAAAGGTACTTACCTTCATATCAAAGTACAACACTATAAATTGAAAAGCACTTAGCGATGCGGCCGCTAAAAATGACGCGAAGTCGCTTTCGAAAAAAAAAATTAAAGCAAAAAGTTGGTCGACACGCGTAAAAGTAAAAGAGGAAGCGGGGAAAAAATCAATGCCTGCGTTTTATGTTCTATGCGTGTGACAGATCCGTAGTCATGGCAACCGTGACGGGGGCTAAACGCAACGAAGAAAAAGGTCGTATGTCAAACGCGAAAATACCAAAATGGCACTTAAATTGAACGCACAAAGTCGCACCAACAACGCTGCGTTCACGTTTAAGCTTTTATTGTTTTCGGAAGTGCGGTGTGCGTCGTGCGAAAGAGAGGGGAGATGGGGTAAGGGATCCGGTAATCGATATTACGCACTTTTGTAGCAATGGAATTGGCGCGACACGATGCAAGAAATGTTTGCACGCGTTGCAACTAAGACTTTTGAATTTTTGATCTCACACTTTTACGTTTAGAAAAAATAATACTTTAGATTTCTAGACTTATGCGTTTTAAACCTTACTTGTGTATATTTAAAGTATAGAATTACTATCGTCATAAAAGGCTAGATTAATACCAAAACAAAAAGCTGTCAGAGAAAAATTAATTACATTTTTTTGCGCTAGCCATAAGCCATCCGTAATTCCGAAACGAGTTGTATTATAATAAATAAAAAAGCATAGAACACACTCTCGTTCGCCAGATGTTCGAATTATGATGCGAGTTATAGAAAATAATGACGTTTTCACAGAAACTGAGTAATATGTACAGGGTGGGTGAAATTCTGATGAGTCACTCGGCTCCGGGTCGCGATGGCCGACCGACGCTCGCGAATTCATTCGATTCTCG